AGACCCTGGGAGGCCATGGGTCCCCTGCCGTCCGTTTTCCTGCTGTGTCGGATCTACTTCCATGCAATGTTTTTTTTTGCCTGGGTTAGTGTAATCCCCGTTAACCTCCCCAGGCGCCAGGGAGCAGCAAGAGCTGGTTGCCTAGGAGGAGCCGCTCTGGAAAGGCTGAGCAGAGCTGTGCCGCAAGCCCCGGGGAGGCTGTGATCCCTCCCCGCGGCGCCGGGCTCCCTCCTCTGCCTCCCTGGAGGTGGGCCCTGGTGCCCAGGCCCCGGCGTGGGTGTGGGCGCCTCACCCCTGACAGGGAGTTGTCAGGGCAGAGGTGAGAGGGGTGCTCAGGAGGAACCCTCTCCTGAGTAAACAGGTGCAGGCAGCGCGTCGGGGTGGCTTGGGCTGCACAGGAGGTCCGAAGCCACCGAGCATGACTAGTCCCGGAACGCAGGGGTCGTGTCTCTCGCAGCCGACGGTGAAGAGCGTGCTGGTGTATCGCAACGGGGACCCTTTCTTCCCGGGGCGCCGTATTGTCGTCAATGAGAAGAAAGTGTCCAACTTCGAGGTATTCCTGAAAGAGGTGACAGGCAGGGTAAAGGCACCCTTTGGAGCTGTGCGTAACATCTATACACCCCGGGGTGGGCATCGTGTCCGGCAGCTGGAGGAGCTTCAGAGTGGAGAGCAGTATGTGGCTGGTGGCGGGGAAGCCTTCAAGAAACTCAAGTGAGTGGCTAAAGAGTAACGTAAGATTTATATGGAACTTGAATATCAGCATTTGGGGTTTGGCACTGTGGCAATACTTCAAAGGACCCTCCACCCCACCCCTTTTATTAGGCATTGCACAAAGAGGACTTAAAGGCTATGACCCAAAGCAAAAAGAAAGGTACTTTTAACAGATAAAACTGCAAAAGAGCTTTAGAGGCGATCCACATAAAAGCTGCTGTTATCATCAGTCGCATAGTGCCATCTCCTTGACATGACGGTGGAAAAGGAGAAACAGCCCTTTAACCCGAAGGACATGCGGCAATGCCATGTTGTTGTGATGTGTGTGCTTAACTGAGGGGCGAGTGTCGGTATTTGTGCTCAGTGGTAACAGGGAGAAAGCTGTAGAAAGGTGGAGTGTTGGCAGTCCTGCTGTGAAGTTGATGAGCCTGGGAATTTAATTCCCAACACTTCCTTTCTTGCTTATTTTTAAAAAGCCTAAAACATTCTACCTAGCTATCCACCTCGCCATCACTTCTGTTCATTTTGGGTAGGTATATAACCTTTTTATGACCAGAATAGCTGAGTCCCTCCTGTTATTTAAAAGATGACGTTTTGCTTTCTTTTCCCTGCCTAGACACCAAGAATTAAGCTGACAGTTTCTGTTTTCTAGTGACTGACTGGGAGAATATCGTGGAGCAGATCTGGGCTTTTAGGTGTGTTTCCCAGGTGGCTCTGCATGTTATCAGTAATGGTTCTTAATTCTGGCAGTGAATTTCATGGTCTCAGTTGCCTAATTATACGTTTTGTTCAGTCTTTGTGGGCATTTTTCCTACAGTTGAATTAAAAAAAAAAAATCTCATAATAAATAATCCCTTTCTGGAGGTGGTTGGGAATTTATATGCTAAACTACCAGCTTTACAGGACCTCACTCATCTTGGTTGTGTAGAGTTGGGGACACTACATTTTTCAGGAGAGCTCATTATGTTTCAGGACAAAACTCTCTGTGTAATGAACAGGACCTCTATCAGCACTCTTACTGTTTTTGTCACTGTCTGCTTCTGAAGATTTCTTGAAGCTTCTTGTGCTTCAGTGGCAAAGCTAGAGAGAAAGATGTATGACAGCCTAAATATAAGCCCCTTTCCCTCTGTACTCTCTTCCATGTCAAATGCAGTGCTCAACTCTCAAGAAAGATCTACCGTATCTTTTTGGTATTAAATCCTGTGATTCTGTGGATGGCTTAAAGTTGTTAGTTGTCAGCACATCATGTTTCACCTCCCTAAATGTGTTTTATGTTCAACAGACAGGCTAAAAGTAAGTGAGTGTTTGGCATTAGCATGCACTGTGTAGAGAATTGGGCACTATGAATTTATTTTGGGTGGGAAAAAGCATTTCTTTTTGTCATTTCGTGTTTTATGGTTAGAGTTTTATGGTGAGAGCTTTTCAGACTTTATGGTTGCAATATGCAATAAGATACCTAAGTATTTAAGGTCAACAAAGAGAATACTTTAAGAAAAGCTAACCTACAGGACTCTGTAAAAGCAGGCTGTTTTATATATCCGTTGATAGTATGCCGTAGTCCTGTGCCGTAGGGAGGATAAATGGGATGACTTGAGATCTTTTCCATTTCTGCATTCAGAGTTGGAGTTCTTCACTATTAGTATTTATTTATATAGTGCTGTAAATGTTGGCAGTGCTTTTACAAGCATTATTTAAGACAAGCTGAAGTGCTTAATGTTGATCTTATTCTTAACTGGGTTGTGGACAGAATGATAGTTAGGGAGACATCTTAGGCAGAAAGGTCAGAGGAGAGGAGGGGTTAATTGAAAGGGACGGTTTTCTGGAATGAATTGAAGGAATTAAAGAAAAGCGCGTATGTTTGTGTATGTGTCACAGACAAAGATAAAGCAGTTGCAGCTGTGGGAGACCAAAGCATCTGCTCTAAAGGGTCTGAGTCTGGTCTGATAGCAGCAAGATGTTTGTAATTTTTTACAATTTTTTTGCAGTGATGCTTGTTGGACACATTCATTGCTATGATAGACTGTGCAGGGCTGAACTTTGAAATGGAGGCTTGTGGCACTGATGCGTAATGGAAAGGAGAGAGTATCCAAGGAGAAGCAGAAGCTGCAAGTGTCATCGCTCCACTTGAAGCAGTGCATTTGTTTCTTCTCAGATGCCTTATACTGAGAACTGAATCTTTTTCTTCCCTGCCCACAGGGAATTCTAGACTAAACTGTGCTCACCTTTAGCACGTGAACCTCCGTCATTCCAAGCCTTGAATCTTAACATCTTCAGATAGATACTTCTGAGGGTATAAAGTCAATATAAACTGCTGATATGTTTCATTTTTTAAATAAAAATAAAGTGATCAGCATTTAAAAATTCCACTTTTAGAAAAATATGTAGAATTTTTCTTTAAAGGAAGAATTATTAGCCAATGTTGGGAATTTCCATAAAATATATCAAGTTTCCCAGCTTGTTTTGTCATTTACAGGTGTGCTAAGTGAATACAAGCTTTTTTGGTGTATATGCAGTGAGATGTGTTGGTATATTGTAGTTGTTGCAGTTGTGAGTGAGAATGCACATTCAGGCCTGCACTCCTGGGGAGTTCTTCCCTGACTCTCGGCTTCCTGAAAGAAAACTGTCTATGCTGGAGCTGGTTTCAATTTTTAACTTTTTTTCAGCATGCTACTCTACCCTCCTCCTTTCTTTGCCCATTTGTTTGTATCTGTGCTCATTAATTAACGGTAGATTGTCCTCTCTCCAGCAGTGTCTCTTTAAACAACACTATAGTTTCATCACTGACTTGGATAGTCATTGGGTGGAAATATTTCTGCTTTCTTAGCAGTGGGAATACTTTTGTAAAGTTTTTGGTCTGGGATTTTTTTGGGTGCCCTTATCCCGAGAAAACCTTTTGGTCCTATTTAGACCTTTTCAGATTTGTAGATCCCTGAAATTTGATAACTGAATGCCCAGACCTCTGCATAGTGAATTTAAGCCTTTGACTATATATTTGCTTTTCTTTGTCACTTTTCTTAGTTCTTGAAGTAATTCACAGATGCCCGGAAAATAAGAACCACAGTCAGCAGCTGTTTTTATAGGCTGTTGGAACTATTTTGTCTGAGGCACTTATTTCTTTCCGGTCTTGTAGACTTTAAGACTTCTTTTTTTTTTGGTCTCAAGAGAACTTGTTCCTTTTTACATGGAGAAGCTTGCAACAGTTGTTTTTGTTTGTTTTTAAACACGAGGCTTGGACACTTAGTTTTTAAACATTGTCTGTCATTGCTACATTTACCTTTTCCAAAGCATTGGCATGCACTTTCAAGCATTACCTGGAAGCCTTGCTGTGTCTTAACAGTCCCCGCACACTGAAGCCTTGAAATCCTTGTGATCATTCTGTGGTACCTTGATAAACGATTGCCATTCCTTCAAAGAATGAATGATGCTTTTTCTTTCTCTTTTTTTTTTTTTTCCTTGCTTCATTCAGGTCTCATGAATTCTCAACTTTGGCCAGGCAGAAAAGTTTCCTACGGCAAACAAATTTTATCCCAGTCATTAACTACAAAACATGACATTACTGGAAGGCTGCAGGTGCATTGTGGGCTCTAAGGTCTTTTGGTGAGCCTGCACTGATGCTTGCCATCGGGTATACCTGACGTTCTCAGATAGGGTCTTCTAATCTTAAAAGCCTGCCAAACTACCTGTGGTTTCCCACTGAAAGTGGGAATAGGGAGACCTTGTAACAAATGCTCATCACCTAATGTTGGATTAGATGCTCCTGGCGTAGAATAGATGCCCCAGCCATTTTTTTTCTCATGTTTCGCTCTTGGCAGAAGGTGCTGAAAGGTGCTGCTATACTGAGTTATAACTGCCCACAAAGGTGTCTCTTCCTACAGTGCTGACAACTAGAAACATCTTGCAGTGCCAGCAACTACTGAGAGCTGCATTCATGAGAAGAACCTCTCTCGTGGCTCTCAGAGTGCTGACAAAGGAAAGGAGTTAGCATAGTCTGAGTACTTGGACAGTTGCCTGTTTGCCAGTCTATGGGTTACTCATGCTTGAAAGCTTATTTAATTCCCTTCCTTTGGAAAGGCAACACACAGCTAATCTGTCACTGTGTGTTTTAACTAACACTTCTGTGTTAATGCAATGTTTTTGTGGGAATATGTACTCTGATGGAGAGCAGTATTGTTCAAATAGATGTATTTTGTTTTCTTGTCCAGTTGAGGCTTGTATTTTGTCTATTCATAAAATAATTGTGAAGATGCTGTTGGTTCATCACAACCATAAGAAACCAGGATATACAGCATTCAAATGTGTCCATGTCCAGTTGAAACACAAGTGGTGTAGATTCTTTTAAACTTTAGCTGATGCCCTGAGTTTAACTTCAGTATGGAGGAAAGCTTTAAATCTATCAGTGACTTAGTGTGAGAAACTAAGAGACAAGATGATGACTTTGAAAACTCTGGTAAGTTGATACTGTGCTGTGATTTATTGATCCACCTCACAGTAGTATTCAAGCTTCTTTCTGACAAGGGGATTATTGATGATCTGTTCTAATCACCAGTGACTTGAAGGTAGATGGTTGGTTCTCCCCTGTGTTTTGTATTAGCCCAGAGGGCTAAATTGCAGATTTATATAAACATTCCTTCACGAAAATCTTGAATTAGCTACTTTTTATGTTATTTTGAGGCATGATAAATTTTAAAAGTTTCATGTATGAAAAAAGTGTAGAAATATTTGTATTGTGTAAGTTAGATGCTTCTGTAAATAATCAATACTGTTTTCCTTCCACAGCTATTTGGACATTGGAGAAACAAAGAAAAAACCTGCCGAAGTCAATAACGAGGTAGGATGTCTGAAATATTTAGGAAGTAAACCTGCAGTTAATGTTAGTCATATGCCTGCATTTATGCCTGATTTTTTAATATGTATTTATTATGTTTAATAACAATACAATTATCTAGAATTCTGAACATGTTATTTCAGTGATTATTACTCTGATTGCTCTGAGCATGATGCACTGATTGTCTTTGGCTCAGCTTTCTGAATTGCCGCATCCGGTTAAAAACTTTCAGTAAAGAATATCTCATCATTGGATCTGGTCATAAACTTAAGGGAGCTTTTTTCATGCAGAAAAAGATGGCGGGAATGAAACTTTTGGGAGTTTCTTCAAAACTTGGTATTTTCTCTGGAGAAGGGAAATTTTTTTTTGAAAAAATCACACTTAGTTGAGATGCTTTTCCCAGTCACTGCCAGTGTCAGTTGTAAACTTCTAACTAGTTCAAGTCCATAATTCTCTGAAGTCACCTATTTCTCTGAACAGTGCTATGCTATAGCCTGAGGGGATAACTGCAGGCTTCAAAAAACACTGTATGTGGATTTTTGAGAGACTCATGACTCTGCATTATTTTTACTGTTTTATTCTGTATGGAGATAACAATGATTTCCAACAAACATTTGAATTATAGCTTCTGCCTGACAAGAAGCATCAGCTCACCATTTTTTCAATTTCTTTTGCCTTGTGCTCCCATGCCAGGTTTCCAGCAATTTAATGGTTTGTGTAGCAGGTGTCTGCAGACAGTAGGACACCTTGTACTGAAAGACCCTCAAAAGTGAGGCCTTAGTGTGCTAATGACATTTGCTGTGATACTCGGACACTTCTTACTCAGAGGCTGTGAAATACAACACCTGCATTTTATAAATTATCATAACTTTGTAACCCTTTTTTTTTTTTTCATACAAATGGGCACAATCAACAGGGAAATAAAATTCAAGTCAGAGATTTACTCTAAATTGGATTTTTTCCTGGTTTATTTATTTATACAATTGACCAGAACATTATAGAGATAGTTTTGTTGTTTTTGTGTAGCCATTCATGTCTCCCTGTTGTTTGGGTCTTTTTTACAAAGGAAAGAGAATGATTTTAAAAAACAGGAAAAATTAATTAAACACTGATGAGGCAGCAAGGTTATACTATGTTGCTGACATGTATATAAAACTGAGCAACATACCTTCACATATCCACTATCTAAGCTTTCCCATATCTTTTATTCATAAATTCCATTTTTGACCTCCAGCATTTTCTTATTCCAGTCCTGAGTCTCCTCTGATCAAACTTTGTGAATATTGCTGAAACTAGTTACTTGTGGTGTTGCAAGGTGCTCAGGCAGAGAATCAAGTAATTCATCTCACTTTTAATTGTGATCTAAGTAAGAGATTATGATTTTTTTGTGAGGTAAAATATTTGTACAATAGCAGTATTGCACTTATCTGAACCTTCAACATATAAAACATAGTTCTGAACCAGAAAACCCACCTTTGGATGTATGACTAGTCTTTACTATTTTTTCTGAACACCTGAATGTGTGGATAGCACCATTTTAAAACAGTATCTGGGTGAAAAAGAAAATGATTCTTACGTATCCAGGATGAGAAAAAGAGAACTTGAGGAAATTGCTTCTAATTATCTCTGAAAATATGGTGGTTTGCATTCACTATTACGTGTGACTCCCATTAATCGTGTGCGGTGTGACTAACTCCATATGCCCTTTGCTGAGAAGGTAGTTGTCTTCATGGAAGACTCTTGACCAAATCTCCTGATACTGCCAGTTATCAGGGCAACCACAGGCTTGCTACATTAAGGCTGGTTTTAAGGCTGATGATTTTGCTGCAAATCCTTAGAAGATTCTCGATATAACAGAAATTCTAAGTAGTTGTAGAAGTTGTGGGTTTTTTTACTTACAGTTGCATGTTTGGTAAGAGAGGCTTCTATTATTTCTTCTGGAATCAGTGTTCATTGTATATTAACACTTTCAGCCACCTCTCAGTGCTTTGAAGTAAACCAGTATAAACCATCCATTGTTTCAGCTTGCTTTCTTCCTATTTGACTTATGTTTGCAATCATCTCCATGGTCTCTGTGGAGAGCTTAACTTCCCATGTTGAGTTTAACTTTGTGTGATTGATTTATTTGAGAAGAGGAGTCATAAAAATGAGATGAAACCTAGTAATAGTCTACAGATTTTTATCTGGGCTTATGAATAACACAATTGTTTTCATGCCCCAATCATTTAGTCCTAGGAATGAACTTTCAAGGGCCTAATAACAGAAGTTTCAAGGCCTAAATATATTTATTTTAAAATGATTTGAGGAAGCAAGTTCTGGTATCACTTTTTTTCAAGCAGTCACTTAGAAATCAAAAACCTAGATGTGTTTTAGCACCAGGAGAGCAGCAGTATTGCTACGTTTTTATTCTCTTTGATTCTGCTGGATTTGCAACAGCAAACAAAAAAATCATGTTTTTCCATGGAGCCTTGTAGCAATCTTTGATGCTAGCCCACAAAGGTGTTTTGCTTTCATAAGGCATTATTTTAGATTGAATTTCAGAAATAAAATGCTCCCTGTTTGTTTCATTAGAAGAAGAAAAAAAAATCAGTGTATGTGTGAATAACAACACTGCTAAAGAAAGAAATTTATGGCTCAGTCCTGCAAGCACAGCAAGGTGTGCTTTGTGAATCATCTCAAAGACTTCAGTAGGAAGATTACCATGGAGTTATGCATGTACAGAGAAATTTGTGGGTCAGGTCTGAGTTTCTAGTGTTCTGGTGGGCTGGGGTGGGGGTAGAAGGAAAGAAATGGATAAAATTATTTGGTTTATTATTTGGCTCACTGCAGCTTTACAGGCTCCTCGCAGATCAAGGACTGGTGTGCTAAGTGTTGAATAAAAAGCTCACTGATGGCATCACAGACAACTCCAGGCTAACATCAGGGCGTGTTTTCAGACTGATTTTTGCCATGGCAATTCCTGCTCTCTTTGTGCTGGTGCTGAAGTATTAACCTGCTCTCTTTCATTAGCTCCACCTCTTTTTTCTTTCCTTCCTTCCCTTGCTTCTCTTCCTTCCCTTCCTTTCCTTCTTCTCCTCCCTAGTCCCCCAAATGTTTTTAGGACACGATATAATTTGCCAGGGCTCCTGCATTAATGCTATGGACGCCAGCCCATTCTCATGGCTTCAGTAGTGCTGCTGTTAGCCAGAGCCTGGAGACAGCAAAGACTGTTCTTCAAGCATGCTCCTGGGGATTGTTCTCCTACCTTTCTCACCTGGCAGCTGGCCTTGCTCTGGCCATGGCCTCGAGGGTGAGCAGTCACAGCAATAAATGGCCTTGTGCCACAGTACTTCTGAGTGCTGGTGGTGCATTCGGAATTGGTGCAGGACTTTTTGTTGCCCATGGGAAGAGATGGTCTTGGAGCTATTAGAGCTAGCTTGCCCTAGACCAAGTTTTGGAAGCACATTGGTGCTGGCCTGGTGGTGATGACAGTTTTTCTGTAGCTGTATAGTGCCATATATCAAGGATCTGAAAACTTTAAAAAGGTAGCACAGAAACAGTATTTGAGAAATTCATGTTCAATGATTAAGGATGATATCATCATGCTTAGGTACAAGGGTATCAATTCTGATTGAAGCACACTTAATTTGGCATTTGCTACCTGATGATATTTCTCGGTGCAGATTTTTCTCCAGTAAAACAATTACAAATATCTATTTCTAATTCTGGCTGGTGAGGAGGGAGACAAAAGGAAGAAAATCTTATGCAGCAGCTGTACATTGTGTATTTGTATGCAGCTGTAGGTTTTCTTTTGTGTAAGTTAAAACTGCCAAATGTTTGACATCTGCTTTTGGGAGTACTTTAATGTTGTTCTTTGAAGGCAGCATCTCAATTACTTTAAATTTGCATAAAACTAGAAAATGTGTGTCAAACTAGAATTAAACAAGAAAAAAATCATGCTCAAGATACAGTGTAAATACAGTGACCTGCATTCAGAAAGAAGAATAGATGGGAAGTATAAAGCATTAATTTCTTACGAAACTCTCTTCTCACTTTTCTCATGGAGTGACAAGACAGAATAAGTAGTCCATCAGAAATAGGTTTCTCTTTACTGAAATCTGTGAATCTGGTTTTGTAAGGAAGGTCTTCCAGGCCATGGAAGGGAAAAAAAAAAAAAAAATTAAGGAAAGTTCTCCATCTCATGTATTCTGGGAACTCATCTAATGAAATGCTTCAGCATCCATTCTTGTAAGGTGCTGAGATTCTAGTAAGCGCCTGTGTTCTCTGTGTGTCCTCTACAACTGACAACAGGAGCTCTGGGGACGGTTTCATCAAGAAGGTCTTAATGTAGATGTGTTATTATGACACAGCAATGAACCAATTATGTAGTCTTGTGTAATTCATTAAGCAATATCCATCTATTTCATGTGAGCCGTGGAACACGCAAATAGATGTGATTGTCTGTAAGATGGGTTGGGATAGTTTGGGAGGACACATTTTTTTCTGTCTAAACAGCAAGGTTTATAGATGAGGGTCTATACCACCAAATACTTCATTATGGTATCAGTAGCTGATCTCACCACAAGCTGTCTTTGGTGAAAGATGGATGAAGTAGAGAGAGTGTATTACATGTCCCCCATCAGTAGTATCAGCATCCAAAAGCACATAAGCAGAACAACACAAGAAAGCTTGTATTTCTACTTTTTTCTAGTGTATCAACTGCATATAGCAGTTTAATTTCAAGGGCTTTTCTTTTAAAAATAAGCATTGTTTTAAAAATAGTTGAAGTATGACAGTAATAACAGTGCTTTTAAAATCTTGCAAAGTAACTGTAGTCTTGGTCTGTGAGTCCCAACCATCAATCAAAGTTCTGTCTTTTAAAAAAATATTACTTTAAAAGCCCTTAGTCATTCTACCACTGATATAAATCAGGTTACAAGGTGGTCTTCAATGAAATAATCTCACTATCAGTCAGTATTTCTGGTATCAATGATAGATTTCTTTAATCCAGTGTCTCATTTTTA